TCAAAAGATGATGTACTAAAAGGAAAAAGCAAAATTTAGAGGCGGGAATCTCTTCCAATAAAGGATCAAAGCCTTCTTTAATATTAATTTAGGTCGACTGTAGTTCCTTTTCATATTACTTTCAGCAAGAGCAAATCTTTTTGAATGTTCTTAAGAAAAACAATTTTTAAATTCAACAAATAGAAGATAATAAAAAGAAATCAAGCAAGGTAATTTTTAATTAAAAGAAACCAAGGATTAAAAATTACTAGGGATTTTGACTTCACTTAATTCTATCTAATATATTTTATTAGTTCGTTAATCAATTTTAATTGTTCAAGTAGGGGAAACAACCCTAAAATCACTAACAAGCTCTCTCGATGTATTGTTAACTGTTTTAATCCGGTCTAATTACCTATCTTCCAAGAGCGCAATCAAACATGAATTAAATCATTAAGTTTCCTGGTTTATTTTGTGAATTCATAACCTAACGCCATTAACGTATGAAAACCCCCCATGAGTCATTTTTATTCTATGTAATTTATTACCTTTTTTCATATAAAAACCTTACTTGCCGCGATAGTGATTAATGATAAATCATTCAGGGGAAACTTTGCTGAAAGCATTAAGTTTAATAACAAATTATAACTTTGAAAGAAAACATCTATATTATAAATTGGAGAAGAATTTAAGTTAAATCAAATTTGCTAGTATGAGAAGTTTTGGGCTCGACATAATATTAATAAAACTCCAATATACTTGATAAAATTCATAATAATGTGAATAATGAAAGTAAAACAAGATTAAGAGTTTAGAGATAACAAACTATCAATATTAAATTCTGGGGATTCCTTTGAATCCATTGCACAATTTGAAGCGGCTTGAAGTCCTTGAAGACGAGAAGACAATAGAACAAAAAATATCAGTGAGATCCTATGACAATGAATGATCCTCTTCTTTATATAGACTTCATGGGAGAAAATTCGACTTCGTAATCCGACTTCGTTTAGGAAATAGAATCCTTATTAAGTAAGAAATCTTTTTGGAGATAGGAAACTGTTTAGGCTTTGGATTTCTTCTCAATTATGACTTTTCCATCTGTCTAAATAGGATTAGATCTTGATTTGTACGTCAGAAAAGTATCTGAGGTGGGCCCATGCAAGTTATAGAGATTGGCTGGCGTTCTTGACTTAAGACAGCACTTAATTCGTAGCACGGGCGTGCTGTTCTGCACGGTCTGGGCGTGCCAGAGCTTGAGTTTGAAGGATGGTTCAGCACGGGCCGTGCTCAGCGGCACGTCTAGAGAAGAATTTGTGGCACACGCGTGCCCCGTAGCATGGCTAGGGCGTGCTAGGATCTGAGTTTCCAGGATGAAATGCATCATGGGCGTGCTTAGGCAAGCATGCCTTTCTGTGCCTAAGCATGCCTTTTTGTTGATGTCTTCCTTAGGCACAGGCATGCCAGATAGCACGGTCTAGGCGTGCTAGAGTCTAAGTCTCCATTTAATTTTCCTTGAATCTAGCATGGACGTGCTGGATTGCAGGGGCAAGGCGTGCTAGAGGTTGATTGTATTTGCTTTATTTTGCTCTTTTCTGTGCCAAAACCTACAAATTTCCTTAAGATTAAATGAATTATGATTCGAGGAAGCTTTACACTAAAACATAAGTAAAAATTAAATAAAAACTAAATAAAGTAATAAAAATATTAAAAATCCTAATAAAACTATAGTAAAAATACTGTAAAAAATAACACTATCAAAATTCTCCAAACTTAAACCATTGCTTGTCCTCAAGCAACAAAACTAAAAACTAAAAAATACAAGCTAAACAAACTAAACAAAGCTAGCTTAATATGGTTGGGGATAATTATTCACAATTTCAAAAGTATCAAAAATCATTAACATGAGAATAAATACATGCTAATTTATTCTAACAAAATTTCAATTCCAATGAACACATTTATTATTTAAAACATAAAGTTTAATATAGATTTTAACACAATAATTTTCAACTTAATGAAAGTAGAATATGAAGTTTTACAAAAATTATTTAACCTTTAATTAAGATGTTTTACAATATTTTAAATTAATATTGCCATAAGCAAATTAGTCTCCTTCTCACAATTTGTAATGCAACAATTTAAAAGGATTAAAGGTCTTTATTTTCGGTTGTAATCACAGGGTTTTAGAGGTATACATTTTAGCTAAACAAGGAAAAAATGATAAAAAGATAGACAAAGAGCAATGAGAAATGCATAATAAATAAGATTTTCATTATATCAAACAATTTTTCTTTGTAAAGGGAGATTAATCTTGAAGTCTCTTCAATAGCTAAATTAAAGATACTTTGGCAATGTTTTTCTTATATTTGATATTTACTTGCATTTCTGCTTTAATATCCCAAGTTGAATTTCCTTGATTGATTTACTTCTTTATGCGGTGTTTTTCTCTTGTTTTTCTACTTGTTCATTGCTAGTAAATAATGAATTTTTGTCATTTTGTTACATATGTTTTAAAATAGAAAATAAATCATTCATATACATTATTACACTTAGGGTAGGAATTAAGTTGTTCAATGGCTAGGTTTTTTTAATAAAGGGTAAAATAAGAATTTTGGGTATAAGATTTTCAAATTGTTGCAAAGTCATATTTTAACTTATGGGCCTTAGGCTAAAATAAAGTTTCAACAAAGAATGCCTAACATTATCTTTTTCTAATTGTAGCTTTAAATTTTGTTGAAAGGGAATTCTTAATTTGGTTCTAGGATTTCCAAAGATTAAAACATACCTATATATCATAAAATTCACAAAAATTAGTATTTATAATCTTAGAAACAAATAGTTAAACTAAAGAATCATGTTAAGTCAAAAATTGAAATTTAAGCTAAAAATAATTAATTTCGAAGAACAACTAAATTCATCATAGTTTAATAAATTATGATAATTTTCAAGTTTGCTGACAATTATTTCAACCATATTAAACTAATGAAACAAAACAAAGAAACAATTTTGACTAAAAATTAGCAAAAAAAATTTTGACTAAAAATTTCCCTTTCCCAAACTTAGTTTAGCACATTGTCCCTAATGAGCTTTAAGAATTAATTTCCCAAAAATTTTCATATGATTAATCATGTAATAAAAAACTATGAGAGTTTAGTTCGACATAGTAATTAAATAAAACTCAATAATACTTGATAAAAATTCCATAATCAATGTGAATAATGAAAAGTAAAACAAACAAGATTCGATTAAATAAAACTCAATAATACTTGATAAAAATTCCATAATCAATGTGAATAATGAAAAGTAAAACAAGATTCAGAGTTTAGAGATAAAAACTAGTCAATAATTAATTCTGGGCGGCTTCCTTGAATCCTTGCACAAATCTTGAATGCTTGAAGTCTTGGAAAGAGAGAAGAACAATAGAAAAAGAAACTATCAAAGCTCGAGATCCTATATAATGAATGACTCCTCTCTTTATATAGACTTCCTAAGAGAAAATCCGACTTCGTTTAGGAAATAGAATCCTTATTAAGTAAGAAGTCTTTTTAGAGATAGAAAACTATTTAGACTTTGTATTTCTTCTCAATTAGGACTTTTCCATCTGCCTAAATAGGATTAGATCTTGATTTGTACGTTAGGAAAGTATCTGAGGTGAGCTCATGCAAGTTATAGAGATTGGCTGGCGTTCTCGACTTAAGACAGCACTTAATTCATAGCACGGGCGTGCAGTTCTGCACGGTCTGGGCGTGGCAAAGTCTGAGTTCTAAGGATGGTTCAGCACGGACCGTACTCAGCGGCATGTCTAGAGAAGAATCTGTGGCATGGGCGTGCCCCATAGCACGGCTAGGGTGTGCTAGGCTCTGGGTTTCCAGTATGAAATGCATCACGGTGCTTGCTTAGGCAAGCACGCCTTTGTGTCGATGTTGTCCTTAGGCACGAACGTGCTAGATAGCATGGTCTGGGCGTGCTAGAGTCTGAGTCTCCACTTGAGTCTGAGTCTAAGTCTCCACTTTAAAATTTTGAAAAAAAATTAGTACTCTTTTTAATAAAACAATCATCTCATAACTAATAATATGTTGATCGGAGTGGTAAGCAATCTCAATCTCTGTAAAAATAAGAATACAAATTCAATACCTGAAAAACACACTTTACTACAAAGGCAAGAATTTTTACGCTCTACGATTTGAAAAAGATTACACCTCTTGATTATATATAAAAAAAATCGTCTAATAATTAAATTTTGAAATATTTCAATAGAAATTAAATTTTGTAATAATAATTAAAATTACGAGTTATGTATCTAATATAAATTGTCCAAATAATACACTCACTTAGCATATAAAAAAAATGACTTTTTTATCATTTAAATAGGGAACATGCAATTCATATACCAATTAGAGACAGAAGAAACTTCTTTATAAAATTATAGCAATTCTATAAAAACAAATTAATCTATATAATTCATACACGCCTATAATAGATGTGAGATTTCTGAGGATCAATAGCTTAGTTTTTCCGATAAATAATTATGATCAATTTTGTAAAATAAAAAATAGAAGTGGGAGCACAATAATATGTAGCCTATGTTCAATACATCTCTAAATATATTAAATTTTCTTTTTTAAAAAAAATCTTATATTGATATTTCCACTAAACGAACGATTTAAGCAATCCAAAAAAATAGGAATAAAACAAAGTAAAACGGAGGCAAATTTGATTGGACTGTGAGGTAACGAAAAACATCAGATGAGTAACATAAAAAAAAAAAAAAAAAAAAAAAAAAAAAAAAAAAAAAAAAAAAAAAAAACTGCTATAAAAAATTTGATTAATGACTTATTGAAGATGGCGATTATTAACGGGTGCTATGTACGCTTTATGTGCCTCCGTTATATATATATATATATAATATATAGTAAGATATATAATGAGAACCCCTCTCCAGAGCTCACTAAGTATATATATATATATATATATATATGAACCCACTCTCCAGAGCTCACCTAAGCCTGAGTTGTGTTCTGTTTGTGGGTCTTTTTGAAACAGTGTTCTTTCTTCTTTCTTTCTTTTCTTCATTCTTCTTTTCTTCAGAGATAATGGAGATAGAGATGAGACAATCAAAATTCAAAAGAATTTGTGTTTTTTGTGGTAGTACTCCTGGAAAGAAGAGTAGCGAAAGAAGAGTAGCTACAAAGATGCTGTGATTGAACTTGGAAGAGAATTGGTAAAATGAAATTAAAGAAACTTTTTTTTCTCTGTTTTTTCCTCTGTTTTCCATAATTTAAAAACTGCTTCCCAAAATGGTTTCGTTTTTCTAATTTGTTTCTTTCCAAATGTTTTTTCATTTCTTTTATTGGAATCATTAACTTGTTTTGGTTTTCCTACTCTGGTTTGGTTCCTTTGTTTTTGCTCTGTTTTATTTTTGTTTTTCTTCTAACTTTCCATTTTTGATTGTAAAATAAATTTCATAAAATGTATTTGTTTAACCTTCATAACATTAATATAATGGGTTTTTAGTAATTTTAATGGGGATATTAATGAATTTGCAATCAATCTTGGAACTACATTCTACATAACAGCACAACTTAGATAATTAACAAGTTTCTATTTAAAAGTACTTAGTTAAATTAGTATTAAAAATAAAATTTCATTCATTTTGTGTGTGTGTGTGTGTGTGTGTTCTCTAAGTTTTTATTTCTGCCTAAAAAATGTAATTGAATTTTATAGATAAAGACTTGTTCTTTTTTTGTTTCTAATTTTCCTCTTTCACAGGCATCAAGAAATATTGATCTGATTTATGGAGGAGTGTTGGTTTGATTTCTCAAGCTGTTTATGATGGTGGCCGCCACGCAATAGGGTAAAGAAAATGGGGTTTTTTCTTGCTTTTCTTTTTTTTTTTTTTCGATTATTACCCTCTTGGCTCTTACATTGTTTTTCGAAAAATTCTATCAAAAAAACAGAAAACCTAAAAATAGAATTTTGTTGTTTATTTGTTTTACTAACTAATTTTTGTCCTAATTTGAAAGAAGAAAAAAAAAACTAATTTTTTGTCCTATTATTGTCTGCAGAGTTATCCCAAGACACTCATGCCTGGACGGGTACTTTATCTTCTCTCACAGTGAAGTTCTAATTTTTTTTTTTTAAATTGAAAAAGTGAAAAAATAATTTATTAAAATAATAGCCGAGTTATCTCCAAAAATGAAAAATCTAGGAAAAAAAATAAAAATATTATTTTTCTTATCTAAAATTAATTTATTTTATCATATTATTATTTAATCTCTTTAGGTCCATCATGGATTTAACATTGTACTTTTGAATTATTGCCACGCCTAAAGTTAGAATTGGCACCATTACCAGCAGCATACCTAGGATTGCAAGTACCTTGAGAATGTGAAACATTAGTAGTAACAATATTAGATGATGAAAAACTAGAATTACCGATGATAATTTTATTTTGGTAAGAAACTCTTCTGAGCAACATTGGCAATCATTGGAATCGGATCATAGGACGGATCAACTCTTTTGAGATATAATTCATGAGCTAACAACTTATCTTGAAGCTCTTCAAACGTGATAACAGTATCCCTTGCACGTACAGCCGCAGCTATATCACAGAACTCGTTACCGATGCCATTTAACAACATATACCACCAAATCAACATCAGAAACGGTGTTGACACAAAGAGCAAGTTCATCAGCCATATTCTTGAGAGAGTGCAAATACTCAGTTACCAATTTGGTGTCCTTTTTTGTGTTGGAGAGTTTCTCTTTGAGAGAAAGAACCCTTGTAGCCGATTTATTAGCAAATGAAACCTGAAGTTCTTCCCAAGCATCCACAAAAGTCTTTGCATTGGAAATAATATGTATAACCGAGAAATGGATTGATGCAAACAAAGCTACTACAATCAACTGATTTTTGACAATACCATCAAAATCATGATTACTTAATTCTTGGCCATCTTTTGTAATAGTGGCAGCAGGAGGTTTATTCGTCCCATCTACATAACCAAAAAGATTGTGCCCACGAAGTAATGGAGAAACCTGAGCACGCCAAGTAGGATAGTTTTGAGTTGTAAGTTTGAGATGAAATTGGATAGCATTAATAACAATTATAACCTAGCCAAAAGAATGAGTGATAATGGAATTGGTTGACAAAGCCATAGCAATGAAAAAGAAAGATTAGTTATAGGATAAAAAAAGCTTAGAGCTTATTGCTCTGATACCATAAAGAGAACTGAAAGAGATTGAACTGCAGCAAAAAGAATTGTGTTCTGTATTCATTAAGCATCCGAATTTATAGTTGTACAATGATTAATATGTTTACAACTAATCCCTATATTTGTGTTTTATATTTGAATACAAGAATGAGATAATAACAATAACAATAACAATAAGCTAGCGATACTCCATCCATATTTGAATTTAAATTATTTAATCTGTTATCCATTTGATGAGAAATAGCAAGAGATTTAACACGGGTATGTCTTTACAAGCTAAGGTTTGTGGAATTTGTGTTTTTCCTAGACATCCAACCGATATGTGTCCTACACTACAAGAAGGATCTCAAGAACAAGTAAATGCAATTGGAGGATTTCCTAGACAGCCCCAAAGGATGTATGATCCTTATTCAAACACGTATAATCCAGAATGGAGAGATCATCAAAATTTTAGCTATGGAGCAAGACAACGAAACTCCCATCAATATTAACTCGGACCGCCTTAACAACAGTCATAAATGGTTTTGAAATCATGTATGTCCCTTGAAGATATTGTTAAATCTCTTGCAAACTAACACTCAATTATTTCAGCAAGAGACCAAGGCTAGCATTCAAAATTTGGAGAACCAAGTGAGCCAACTAGCAACCTCTTTGAGTAAATTGGAGTGCCAAGGGAAGCTTCCTTCTCAAACTGTCATCAATCCCAAGCGAAATATAAGTGTAATTACCTTGAGAAATGGCAAGGAGCTGGGAATTCCAACCTTGAATAAATGTGACAGTAGCTTGAAAAAAGATGCTAAAAAAGAAGCAGAAGTTCAGTAGAATGGACAAACTGAAAAATCATAAGTAAACTTGCCCAGCCAAGGGAAGCTTCCTTCTCAAACTGTCATCAATCCCAAGCGAAATATAAGTGTAATTACCTTGAGAAATGGCAAGGAGCTGGGAATTCCAACCTTGAATAAATGTGACAGTAGCTTGAAAAAAGATGCTAAAAAAGAAGCAGAAGTTCAGTAGAATGGACAAACTGAAAAATCATAAGTAAACTTGCCCAGACCAATGGTAACTTAGCCCCCTGTTCCTAAAAGATTGGCTAAATAAAAAAAGGATAAGGAAAAAAAAGAAATCCTAGACTTTACGCAAAGTGGAGGTGAATATACCGTTGCTCGATGCAATTAAGCAAGTTCCCTACTATGCAAAGTTTTTAAAGGAACTTTCTACAAATAAGAAGAAGTTGTCTGGTTATCAAATGGTAAGTGTAGGGGAGAATGTTTCCACTATGTTACAAAGATAATTGCCCCCTAAATGCAAGAACCAATATACGTTTTCTATTCCATGTAAAATAGGCAATATTGGAATAAGAAGAGTTATGTGTGACTTAGGCTCTTCAATAAATGTTATACCATTGTCCATATACTCTTCTTTAAATGTTGGTCCATTGAAAGAAACATCTATTAAATTCAATTGGTGGACAAGTCCATGGTTTGCCCTGAAGTAGGAAGCCGGTTCCAGTATCAAAAAATGTGGAAATGGAAACGGAACCGAAAATTGACGGTTCCAGTTATGGTTTGAAACCGAACGGTTACCGTTCCAGTTAAGATTCCTCAATGGTTCCAAATCAACAGTTCCAATTGGTTTTCCAATCGATTTTTGGTGAATCGTATAATTATAAAATAAAAAATTAGGGAACATTTTTTATTGAAAATTTAAAATTTAAATATTTTTATGAAATAATTTTTAAAAAACTTTAAGAAAAAATTAAAAAAAGGGCTTGGACAATAATTAGATATTGGACTTTAGAGAAATTATTTGACAGTAATTTGGACAATTAATGGCAGAGCTTAGAAATATTGGAGAGTAGAGAATAGTAGAGAGAAATAATTTTGTGTGAGGATAAATGAAAATAATGGGTATTTATATTAAATCCACAAAATCAACTTTCTACAAATACCCTTAAAACTAGTCATTATCTAGTTGTTAGGAAAGTTAATTTGGGGATTTCACAAAAAATTTTGAAAAAGTAAGAAACATTATGTTGGAACCGCCGGTTCTAACCGGTTGGAAAAATGGCCGGTTTCGGCCGGTTCTTGAAACTGACGTTTCATGGTTCTTCAAAACTTGGAATCGAAATCGCAAGCCCCCGGTTCAGACCGATTCTGATACCGCACAGTTTTGATTCTGATTCTCATCGATTTCGAACCGACGGTTTTAGAAAATCGCCATGCCTACCTCAAAGGGGTATTGGATGATATTTAGTACAAGTAGATGGGTTGATTTTTCCAGCTGACTTTTATATGCTTGATATGGAGGATGATAAATCCTTTATTTCATTAGAAATTTTACTTGGAAGACCATTTCTTAGCACAGTTAGAGCAAAATTGATGCTCATGATGGGACACTCATTATGGAATTTGATGGAGAAATAGTTAAATTTAATGTGTATAATGATCCATGTGATGTTCTTAGTGTTTTTGGTGCTGACGTTATTGATCCCTTAAATCATGATATCAAGGAAATAACTTTAGAAGGTCTAGAAGGGGTAGGTTGAATTTTGAGAATGTCTAGCCTATGACCTTAAACAAGGGCGCTTGTTGGAGGCAACCCAATTCTAGGCTTGCCCAAGCCTAATTTTCATAGTTTTATTTTGTTTTTAGATTATTTTATTTTATTTTGTTTTAGTGAACTTCTTCCTAAATTATCCTAAGGTAGTCTATTCTTTTCTTTACTAGGTAAGTAATGAATTTCTGAAGGTTAAAGTAGTTCTTTCATGGTGAAAAACTTAAAAAGAGAGGCTTTTAATGGTTAATGTTTATTTTTATGGTGGTAAAAAGAGAGGCTTTTAATGGTTATGTAATTGTTAAAATATTTTTAATCTGTTTTTCTCTTAAATGATTTATCATCCTTATTTACTTTACCATTAGTCGCAATTTATTTTCACTTTTGTCCTTTTTACTTTTATGAGAGAGAGAGAGAGAGAGAGAGATTTATCATCCTTATTTACTTTACCATTAGTCGCAATTTATTTTCACTTTTGTCCTTTTTACTTTTATGAGAGAGAGAGAGAGAGAGAGAGAGAGAGAGAGAGGACAAAAAGAAACAGCAAGAGAACCCTAGCTCCTCTACTCTACCAGCACCGTCATTCTCTACACCTCCACAAGCGCAACTTCCATAATTGATTTATCTCCATCAAAGATGCTCCAAAGCCACATCCTGCGATTCAGAAAATCTAAGAGTCTTGTCATCACCATCGCTGTTAGTGCCTTCATCTCATTTTGCCGGTGAGCCACCCTTCACCACCAACTTAGAAAGAGGCGACAACAACCTCCTCCACAGGGAAGTTTTTTCACTCTTTAATCATTTCTTTTTATTTTTTTTCTCAATTATTTAGTTGTAGAAAACTCCTTTCTGCCTAATTAATGATTCCATACTGAGGACAATGTGAGAAGTAAGTGTGGGGAGGAGTTTGATTTTGGAGGTGTTTTTATTTGTTTAATTTTTATTTATATTTTGTAAAGCACTGAATTTTTGAGCATTTTATCTATATTCTAAAACCTGATTTAAATATTTCTTTTGGCAAGTGCTCTTAAAACTTGATAGATTTTAGTGCTTATCCCATGGAAATTTTGATTGTTTGATGTCTTAAACGAAGATTTTTATTTCAGGACTTCTTTCTTGTCATAGGTTGATTAATAATTTTCTTTTGACCTTTTGAGAGAAGTGCTTTGTCCTAAAGCAGATTTTTCTACATTAGGTTGAATTCTTGAGATTTTAGGCGAGGTAATAGTAACCTTAATGATAGACTTCCCTTTTCTCCATACCAAAGATATTATTCCTTAATCATTCTCTTTTCTATAAATCATTTAGGATTGAGTTAATAGGTGAAATCATCAATTTGTTTGTGCTTAATTCACTATTGTGTATGTTTCAAAACTTTGTTTAACCTATTTAAGGCACTATTCTTGGCTACATGGTTGCATGTTTTGGGGGATTGAAAGATGCAAATAGAGAAAAGCGGTAATGCATATAGTGAAGAATAAAAGAGAATGAAAAAAGCGATAATGCACATGAGTTCTCCAAAATTTCCATAAAAAAAAAAAAAAAAACAGAGAAAAATGCTCTTTTTTTCCCTTTCAAATATTTGCACCAAATCCTAGAGTATTGTGCTTTAACAAGTTAGGCTTATGTTTTGAAGTGCACCACCTTAAGTTACTATGGAACCTAATCTACTATTAGTTATATGCCTTATAGCCAATTTGATTGGTTGTATTTTGGGATATAACATTTCATATAATAAATATTTTATTATTAATAAAAGGCATATATTTATCTTTTATATTTTGCTTATTGAATCTTGGTAAAAGATAAAGTCCATAAGACAATATTGCTTCACGAAATAAATTGTAATGTGGTTATAATTATGAGTTTTATATTTGTATTAAAGCAATGTCTCTAAATATTCTTGGTTAATGTTTTCCTCATTATTTGACGATGATTAGAGCTGTTGAGATTGGTACATATTATGTTCCTTCCTTAGGGAAGCAGCTGTTCTCATAAGCTAAGATATACGTGATATCTGGAATTAATATGTAGGTGCTTGTATTTGAACAAGTCCATTGAATTGACCTGCATGAGAATTCCATATGAGAGTTACCTGTGTCTATGGAATACTCAAGTAATGGTTATGTAAGTGATCCTTTGACTTGAAATTACTAAGCTACCTTATATGGAGATGATGATGTTTTGATTCTTTGTTCACATTATTCATTCATGAATAATAAGCAATGATTAGTTTGACATAATAGGAACTGTATGGAGATACTGTGTAATTAAGAGAGGATTCATCACCCTAGGTAATTAAAGCTAACGTATTATACTGTGGTGATTAATTCTCGGACAATTATATGTAGGCCTGCTAATGTATTTGGAGATTTGAACAAGGGTCCATTGAATTGACCTGCGGATAGAGACCATTCCACATACTGAAATAAGTTAGTGTGTCTATGGCAGATTACTCAAGTAATTGGTTTATAAGTGATGTGCCT